AAAAAAACTGTGATTATGGGGGACAATTAAAGGAGAGAGATTATTACAGTAAAATGTTAGAGCTTGTTACATGATTAGGTCTTGATCTGTAGAGTGTGCAGTGATCAAAACAGAGGCCAGAGTTGCACACCTGAGAAATGTGATATAATATTTTACAGCATATGCACAGTGCAGCAACTTTTCATTTAGATATAAGTGAAGGCAGCGAAGTGAAGTGTGAATGAGGAGGGATTAGAGAAGCAGAAGTTCAAAATGAAGGAGAGTTGAAAGTGTAAAAGAGGTGGCTTAGATTAGGCAGAGTTTAGTATTGTAAATGGCTGTAATGCAGGAGTCATTAGTAATCTCTAGAAAGTGAAACTGCATCTGCCTCTCTAACAAATATGTATGAATGTGCACTTCCATTCAGACTTCCTTATGGTATTACTGTACCCATTCCTAGCTACAGGTCATTGGTTAAGTAATATCATCTTCTTTCACAATTTATGGATCTACACAGTTGTTATATAGCATTTCTTATTATATACAGTTTATTAGCTACATAATATAATTTTTCTTTGATTGTTTAATCTTCCTCCATTTTTCTCTGCACACATTAACTATTATTAAAACGAATCACAATACTTCCTAGAGTATATGCCATTGCAAAGCTCTGCACTGCCTGTTCTTGTGGAGCTGGGTTAGGGACACACCTGCATCATCAGAGCCTGCTCATGCTCAGCTGGAAAGGTAATGGGAAGTGTGTGGCACTTGCTCCTGGCTGGCAAAAAGAAGAATGGGCCTCGCGAATACTTTTTTTCCTGGAAGATGAAGAAAATTCAATTAGTAGGTATTTGGGAATTAAAATAATCTTTTACCAGAATGTTAATGCATTTGATGTATGTGTACTTTTTTTAAAAATTAGAGCTACATAAAAACTGGAGCTAAAGAATTATGAAAGTAAGGCTAATTTTCATTATCTCTATAATTTTATTGTTTTTAAACTCACTTTTCCAACCTCACAACCTCTTCTCTTCCTTGCTATGCCCTTGCTATTTGACCCCTCCTACAAGTGGATTTGGAACATAAACACAAAAATAGCAAAAATGCAAAAACTTAAGTGTCATATCCTCAAGTATTTGAGTCAAATGCAATGATGCATATGCATCTGTATTAACCTATTTAATCTCTTGTTTCCTGTTGGTCCACGCTGGTATTCTTTCTATAATTAAATGCAATTTATAATTTCTTTTTTCAATTACCTTTTAATCCACAGAAAATTCAAAATATCATTTTTGAATTTGTGACACAGTGGGTCATAACATAGAGCAAAACATTTTAGGAAAGTCTAAATAGTGGATTGATGTTCAAAACACACACACACACACACAAAAAAAAATACAGAGACTCATATTAGGCCTAAATTGTGAAAATTTAAAGTAGGAAGACAAAAGATAGTCAGTTGAACATGAAAAATGAGTGGCTTAAGTTTATCTTTATGGCAGAGTATCACTACATTATGTATAAATAGCATATTTTATTTATCCATTTATTATAGAAAAATGGATGCACCTTGACACCATAATGTTAAGTGATGTAAAACAAACACGTAAGAAAAAGAAAACAAACACATAAGCTTCAATATTGCAAGGTTCTCCTTATATAAAAAACTTAATATATAAATAAAGTAATAAAGTGTGAAGCAAACAACAGGTGATAGAACAGAGTGAGAGAGAGAGAGTTATTGTAATCAAACACAAACAATTTATCTAAAGTGTACCTTGGCTCAGTCCAATTATCTTAGGTGTTTTATATGTGCTTTGGCCCATTAATCTGGTTTTTAATCTATATATATGACAATTAAAGTTACAACATCTTATAAATATATTTATCTTATTTATAAGACTAAGTATATTAAATATAATCTTAGTTATAAGAAGAGATACTTACTTATAAGAAGAGATTCTTACTTATAAGCAGTGGAATGCTAAGCAACAAAGAATCTGTCTGGGTGCTGCTATCCAAACCCTGGGATATAGCAATGCAGAGAATATAAGAAGGAAGGAGGCAAGTCTCCCCCAGCCCCAGGAAGGAATTGAGGCATGAATTGAAGCCCATGGACAAAGTGAAGAGAGAAACTTCAATAAAAAAGGAGGTAGCCAGTGGTGCCATCTCCCGAGGATGGGAAACACTGTGCGAGAAAAGCAGCCAAAACCTACCAATATACAGTGAGTGCTGGTGACCTTAAAGGCCTGCAAGGAGAGACACAAGGAGAGATGCAGCAGTAAAGGGGAGCAGCAGGCATGAAGGACTGCACTAGCTTCTGGTGAGTGTCAAAGGTTAAGCTGTCCTTTGCAAGACAGGATTGGCAGGGAACCATTTTGGAGAGAGACGGATAGAGCTCAGACCTCAGAGCAACTGTTGGTTCCATGTAGCAGCTCCTAGGTGGGGTCAGGCCCATGGAAGGTGTACTGGTAGCTGCAAGCTGCCAGAGGGTGCAGGCTTACTGGTGTTTTGGGATAAATTAACATGGATAGGGATGCTGTCTCCATAAATTGTTTACCAGTGACAGTAGAGACAAACCTGGAAGTGGACTTTTGTTGTTGCTATTTGCTGGTTTGTTTTTTGTTTTTTTCTCTCTTGCTCATTTTTTTTCACTGTTGTAGCTTTGCTTCTTTGTTTTCTTTGTATTTTTTTTCTTTTTCTTTCTTTTCTTTCTCCTTTATTGGTTGAACTTCTACTTATAACTTCTATTCTATTTATATAGGGCATAGCAAGGAAGGGAAGAGGTTGTGAAGTGTGAAAATGGTATCTAACCTCTTTGTGGTTGTGGTTCTGTTCAGTTCCTCTTTTTATCTTTTTCTCCTCTCCTTCCAAACTTCTGCACCAGTTTCCCCAAGTTAGTGTGAACCCCTTTGTCCTCTAGCCTTCTAATCTCTTCCTGTTCTTTCACTTCTCTATTTTCTACCTAACCAATTTCAAAATTTAACTGCTGAGGGCAAAATTTACATACTAAGGACTTGTACACTGCACACAATTTTCTGGTTTGTTTTAAATTTGGTTATATAACCACAAATCTAGTTCACATGTGTAAAGGTAGTAAGTTAATGGTGACTTTAGTTTGTCATTGTTTAGACTGTGTTTTATGTTATTGCTATTGGTACCACTATAGCCAAAGTGACATAATTCCTCTAAACAGCTGTAGCAAACATCATCCCAGGAGTTAAACTAAACAAGAAAGAAAGAAAGAAAGAAAAATAGGGAAACACTTAAATGAGATGAAACCCCAAACATCACCAAAGGCAAACCCAGGAGGCAATGAGGTGGGACAATCTGAAAAACACCCACTTGGCCTCTCTGAAGTAGTAACAACAAAGCAACTGAATCAAGCTTTAGAAAGAAATCAAATCAGAAATAATCTGTCAGATAACTGCAGAGATGGTGTGTACAATGAAAACCATGCTTACTGATTTTAGAGCAGATACAGACAAGAAAACAGACGAGCTTAAGAAAATTATGGAAGCCATGAATGCTCAGCATAGGAGAGAAATGGAATCCATAAGGCAGATTCAAGCAGATATCCAGAATAAAAATTCTACTGAAAGTATTTGCAGCAGATAAAGCCAATGTGAGGACAGGATCTCAGATATAGAAGACAGGCTTGCAGCTAGCAATCATGAAAAGAAAGATTTCTTAAAAATAGCAAGAGACCATAAGAAATCAATGCAACAGCTGCTATGATGCAAAGAAGAATAACAAGATTATTTACCATCAGTGAAAAGGCAGAGGATAGCACAAATGATATTTTAAAAAAACAGATCACAGGTGTCATGGCAGAAAATGTCCCTGGTAGAGAAAAAGAATTTGAGATACACTTAAGTGAGGTACAAAGAATTACAACTAGCCACGACTAAAAAATCTACAGCCTAGCATATCATAGTCAAGATTCCAGAAATTCAGCACAAGAATAGGAACTTAAATGTTGTTAGGGAAAAGAAACAAATCAGAAATAAAGGAAAGCCCATCAGAATCACAGCTCATTTCTTACCACAAACCCTCAAGTCAAGGACAGCTTGGAGTAAAGTACTTCAAGTTCTAAAATAAAACAACTTTCAATCCAGATTGATGTACCCTACAAAACTATCTTTCAAAACTGATGGAGAAATATGATACTCCCATGAAAAGCACAGCTGAGGAAATTTATAACCACCAAAGTAGCACTCCAAAATGTTTTGCAGGATATTTAAGGAAGAGAAAACAAGGAATACAACCCTATAAACTGCAGCAGAAGGAATTCACCAGGCAAGGCAAACAAGTAAACAGAGGGAGGGAGAAAAAGAGAGGGAGACAACAACAGGAAAATAACATGACAAGGATAAGTCAGTACATATCTGTTGTAGCTATCAATGTCAAGGGCCTCAATTCACCAATCAAAAAACACAGACTGGAAGAATGGATCAAGAAAAAAAAAGACTGAAAGTCAAAAGATGGAAAACATACTCCATGTGACAGGAATTCAGAAAAAAGCAGGTGTAGTTATTCTATTTGCAAACAAAGTGAATTTCATGCCAAGACTGATTAAGAGAGATAGAGAAGGTCACTGCATCCTTGTAAAGGGAACAATGCAAGAGGAAGAGATAACAGTCATAAATATATAAGCAACAAATATCAGTGCACCTAGCTACATAAAACAAATATTAATGGGCATGA